CGTTTCGTCTCTCTTCCAAGAGACTACAGTCTTTATTTTACAGTTAAAATAAACATTTATCAAATAAAGTTTAATGCTGCAACTAATCAGGGATCCCTTTAAGAATTTACTATACGTTTAAGCATAATTGCTGAAAATGACATGCAGGATTTTAGAGCATAACTGTAAAGTTACGCCCTTGTGGCTAATAAACAACCACAAAGACAAATGAAAAACTTGTTTCCTCATGAAAACAGAGGTATGCACATAAATCACTGAGATTATGCTGTCGCAAAAGATTAGTGATATTTACTTTCCCAGCACAAGAATACCATAAAGGGAAAAAATAAAATAAAAAGTGACTTATTATTGGAAGGATGCTCTGTACCATTAAATACATTAAATTTATTATTTTATCTGTTTGTTTTGGTACAAATTATCAGCCTGTTTGCTTTTTCCTCAGAATGTTGTCTCTTTTTTTCTGTAGGTCTTTAGCACAGCAGGAGTTCTTCACCAAGCCTAAATTCAGTCACGTCGTAGAGCCCAACGACTGCCTGGCTGCTCCCTGTGACGTCCTCAGTCTCGATATGTACACTGTCCAAGTGAGAGACCTTGAGGTAACCAGATTTTCATCTTTAGAGCTATCCACAACYTTATCTGAGGTTGTAAACCTAACCGAGCAGGGTTTCATTTCTCAGGAAATGAAGGGGGAGTTTCRCTTTTGGATGGAAAAGTCTGGAGTTTTCCACGGATTCACAGCCTGGTTTACAGTCCAGTTTGAGAGCCTGGAGAAGGGAGGAGCGKCAGTGGAGCTGAACACTGGACCGAACTCGGAGTACGAAAAACACGAGAAAAATAATACTCAAAAACACAAATTATGAAATAACCTTACTTTTCTTGTTTAGGCTGACCCACTGGAAGCAGACTTTGTTCATGCTGGACAGACCGGTCAGTGTGAACGCTGGAGACTCCATCAGAGGATCCATTGTCCTGCACAGGAACCCGATCTGGAGGCGTCACATGACCGTTACCCTGCACTGGAACATCAACAACAGCGCAGATGATGCAGACAACAGCCAGGCAAACGTCATCCACTTTATCCACATCTTTATATCTGTTCCACAGGATTTGACTGCTTACTTTTATTTATTTATTTTGCTTTTAGRTTGGGGCAAAAAGTTTCCCCATGTGGAGGTGACAAACACAGCAGCAGTGATTGACAGAAAACCAGTTCCAGTACATCACACTCCAGCTGATTCCTAATCAGGTTTGATCACGAGAGTACGGCCTTCAGAGGGTCGACTGGCAGGAGGTCTGGTCCTGTGGTGATCAGCCTGATATCTGCAAGAGCAGGTGGTCACACCAAGAGTCAAAGATAAACACCTGAGTGAAAATCAGGGTTAATATCAACCAGAGGTGGACTGAATGTGGTGGGTAACAGAAGAAAATACCCATCACTCTACATTTTATGTTTATTTTACTCACTTTATCCTGAACAATTAGATATCATCGTACGCTGCAATTTAAACTTACAGAACATGTCATTTAGAGAACATTTTTATAACAATGTCTAACGGTTTGGGATCATAACACTTTTTATACACCTAAAAATCAAAGTGAACAATGCATACAACAGACTAAAATATGCAATAAATACACTAAACAAATGCTGCAGTTTGGTTTAAAGTCAAATGCTGATTATAAAAGGAAAAAAAAAAACCTCACACACATTTTAATAATTTGTAACAGTTCTCCAAGACCAGCATTTTGGCCTCTTAGGTCTTCATTTTAAAATTTCTAATTTCTAAAAGTGTACAATAAAACTTGTTTTCAATAAAAGTAAAATAAGAGCTTAAATACCCATTTCTTCTTTGTCTCTTTTTTCTATAATTCAACCCGTTTGTAAACTTTTTGTGACATTAATCCTACTGTGCTGTGACAGAACTGCTTCACACATTTCACCCTCTTCGTTACGATTCAGTCTTAAAAGTCTTCGATTTTGCTTTGGAGTGCGTGTTCGCCTCTGAGGACAGGGACTGGTCGGCCGGTGAGGCCTCATGGGACGTAGCTCTGGAGAGCGGGATGAACAGCGGTGGTTTCACGACTCTGTACTTGAGCTCGTTTTTTTCCTTCTTCTGCTGCAGGTGTTTATCGCAGTGGTTAACGAAYGTATCCAGCTTGACGAAGGTCTTGTTGCACACCTTGCAGTGGTAAGGCCGCTGTCCCTTTTTGAGGCGTATGTGCAGTCTGAAGTAAGAAGAGCGCACGAAGGTGCGGCAGCAGACGCCGCATTTCAGATCTTCCGTGTTGCCTTGTGGCTGGCTGAGTGYTGGTGTGCGAGGAGGTGCTGGTGCGCGAGGAGGTGCTGGTGCACGAGCAGGTGCCGGTGCAGGTGTTGGTTTGGTGTGCCCCGAGGCCTCTTGAGCCTTGTGGGAGAGCAGAAGCGACAGAGAGCGAAACCCTGCGCCACACTGCTCGCAAACGTACGGTTTCTCCCCGGTGTGGAGACGAACGTGTGCCAGAAGCCCAGCCTTCTGGGTGAAGGACTTCTCACAGTAGCTGCAGCTGAAGGGCTTCTCTCCTGTGTGCAGCCGACGGTGCGTCTTCAGGTGCGAAGCCCGGCCGAAGGTCTTCCCGCACTCGGGGCATTTAAACGGCCTGTCTCCGCTGTGGATGGTCTTGTGAGCGACCAGGTGGGCGGTCTGTTGGAAGAACTTGCCACAGATGTTGCATCTGAACTTCCTCTCCTTAACGTGGGAGGCCAGATGAAGGCTCAAGTGCGCGGAGGAGATGAAGGTTTTGGTGCAGACRGTGCAGCTGTGCGGGTTCAGGTGCTTGTGGGGTCTCCTGCCGTTTGAGGGGCCTCCGCCTGCACTGCAGTGTGGACATTTGAGAGGACGATCATGGGGTTTTGTCTCCTGCTGCTGTCCAGAAGCAGCTGGAGAGCTGGTGGGGTCAGACTCAGATTTGGGCTGAGGGCTTAAACTGCACCCACATTCTGAGCAGAGCCCAGACTGCTGCTCTGAGCCGTTGTCAACAGATTTAACTAGCATGCTGCCATTGATAACCACGTCAAAACGCAGGAGGAGTCACCGACCTAAAACCTGAAAAAACAAACACAAAGGGTTTTAGTGTGGTGCAGCTTTAACCCCGCGTTATATCATCATTCCTGCAACACAATCGACGGGTGCACGTAAATACATAATCTGAAAACACCAAATTAAACCAGTTACTTCATCTCCTCGCATCTGCTGCTGGGCCCAGGCTACTTCCGAGGGGAAAAGGATGCGACTAATATCTGACGTCGAACGCAAATTTTACGTTCCGCCCTCAGTCCTTCCTCCTTTAGAAAACACGCATTGACTCGCCTCTATCAGAGCTGTTAAATCACAAAAAATTAAACGGTATTAAATAAACAAAGAGGGAGTGCCGGACTGTTGTTCGGCAAAAAAAAAAAAGGAGCTGCAGCAGCATCTAGCGAGCGGAGGGCGGAGTGGACTCGGTCCACGCACCACGTGGTGTCAATTACGAGACAATTAACAATAAACAATGTTCCGGTTCTAAACTGAGCCAGAACAAACACATCTTAAATAAAGGCCATGGTGGTTCATATTGCACAGCCACTGGTCTATAAGTTTCGTTTTATTACGTAACGAAACCTAAACTGACTTCATGCCAAGTAGGGGTCTCTRCGGACGAGTGGGCGTGTCACAAGGAAAGGCTATTCTAAAGCGACACACCTGATTTGACGGACTTTGTAAAAGAGACACACCTGACTGGACAAGCAAAAAAGGGGCGATACCGCACGGCACCACCTCATTGGACAAGATTAAAAGGGGCGTTACTGTACGGTGCCACTTTTTCTRGAGAATCCTACTTGGGTCACATTTCTCCTGGTTAACCTTTGTGTTGGGGTCAGGGTCAGGCTGTAAAGAGATGAAGCAGGGTGTAAGGATACCGTAATATAGGCCTCATAGCCCAGAGTGTTTATGCTTTTGACACGCCCACTCTTGTGACACGCCCACTTTGATTCTGTAGTTAATTCCTTCTTCATCCTGATAAGTTTCTGCTTTCGATTTTGCAGAAACGAGTCTGGGCTGGGCATTTCCTGTCCTTATAAATAACAGGCGCAGCCAGCATCCCTGGTTCTTCCTGAGCAACTGCTGCATCCTTCAGATGTCAACCAGGTACAGTATTTTTTTATTACTAATTTGCATTCTTATAGCATTTGTGAGCACAAAATTTGCATCATGTGATAACAAGCACTGCACGGTTATAAATTTAAAAAAGTAATTTCACATTTTTACAGTTTTTTTTTTTTGTAGGCGCTAAATAGTGGGTCCGTGTTTGCATGTGAGCTTCAGTCACTCTTTTTAACGCTTAGAGCCCGCCACATCATTTAGAAATGTATCTAAATGTTTTATTTTCTGCTTTGGTTTGATGACTTATTGCTGCTCAACTTTTGACCTGCATAATCATGGGACAAAATATCTTGAAACTCTGAACTTTTGGACAAAGGTGTTCACCAGTTGGATCCCTTTTAGAGTTTCAAGATTTATTTAT